TTTTATTAATTTTTAATTTTTTAATATTTTAATTTGAAATAATCTCATACATGTAAAAAAAAACTATAAAATACTACAGCATATTATATGTACCCTTCACCCAATTTCTTAGGTGTTAATAATTTAAACATAACCATTATACAACTAACAAAATTTGGAATATATTTTTCTTATAATCTCTTTAATGTTACTTAATCCATTTACTTTGTTTTTGTTAATCTTCACCCAAGGATATTTTTCCATTGAATTTTAGAGAGAGTGAAGGGAAAGGGAGAGACACATTGATTGGTTGCCTCCTGCACATGCTTTGATAGGGACTGGGGATCAAGCCAGCAACTGAGGTACATGCCCTTGACTGGAATCGAACCTGGGACCCTTCAGTCCACGGGCTAATGCTCTATCCACTGAGCAAAACAGGCTGCAGCTTAATTCATTTACTTTTAATCTATATGTGTCTTTATATTTAAAGTGGGTTTTGTTTTTGATTCACCCTCATAATCTGTCTTTTAATTGGTGCATTTATGCCACTGACTTTCAGAGTGCTTACTGATAGAGTTACTGCCATATCAGGTGGTTTCTGGGGCTTCCAGGCCAGCCTGCGGCCCGGGACCGGATCCGATCACGAGTGGCAGGCAGGCGGCTTCTGTGGTCCCACACCGGGGACTGGATGGCGGCTCGGGCTGGCGGCTCACACTGTCCCACCCTGCCTGCAGTATGCAAATTAGCCACCATCTTTGTTGGCGGTCAATTTGCATATCTCACTGATTAGCCAATGGGAGACGTAGCGAAGATACGGTCAATGACCATGTTTGTCTATTATTAGATAGGATATTAGATAGCGGTTGCTTTAAAAGGGGGGATTCTAACATGGAAATCTCTCCAAGACATAATGTTAAGCACAGCCAGTGTGGCTCAGTGGTTGAGCATGGACCTATGAACCAGGAGGTCATGGTTCAATTCCTGGTGGGCACATGCCCAGGTTGCTGGCTCGATCCCCAGTAGGCGGCGTGCATGAGGCACCTGCTTCATGATTCTCTCTCATGATTGATGTTTCTGTTTATCTCTCTGTCTCCCTTCCTCAGTCAATAAAATATATATATTTAAAAAAAAACACAAAGACATAATGTTAATTGAATAAAGCAAAACAATACATAGAGTATAACTTCATTTATGCAGCAAAGATACATATTTTCATATACATATGTGTGTATGTAAAGTATAGGAAAGAACTTAGAAAAATACATACCAAACACATGAGAAAATTTTTTTAAAGATGATGTTAATTAAGTGTTAGTAGTTGTGTCTACGTCACTTTTAGGGAGGGATTAGGGAGTCCTCCCCTTACCAAGAGTGCTCTGTAGGGTTCTCCTGCAAATTCTTTCGGGCTGTGCACCTTGGCCCCATACACTCACCAAGGCCATGCTACTCAGCAGTCTGGCATCTGGCCAGACACCTCGGATTTGCATTTGGGCTTCTCTTTGTTGTGCTCTGTGCTGCCTTGGGCAATTAATCTCCACCCTGTACTGAGCTGCCGTGTCTTCTTCAGGTACTCTGGTCCCTCCTTCTGATGGAGGGGTCCTAGGTGCTGTACCCTTTGAGCATCCAAAGAGTCTGAGATGTGGGTGTGAGCTAACTACCTGGGATGGCCAGTCTGAGCCCTCCTCTCTTGGCTCGCTTAGTGTTCCTGTGATCTTAGAGGACCTCATCCTGGCCTCCCCATAGGTGCTCATGAGGTGCTTGTCCCAGATCTGACCCCCAAGGACAAAGCAGGCTTCTCTTCATTCCTATAGTCATTGGAGTTTTACCTTTACACCCCCTTCTCTGAAATTCTGTAATTGGGATAAGAAAGAGGGTGGGCTTCTTACTCAGGCCTCTGTGAAACTGTTAACAGTCTTTTCCTGTAGTTCAGCTCCTTGTAGCTCACCCACACAGGCCTCTCTCTAGGGACCTGTCAGTATGGAGCAGGGTATGCTCAGAGACCACCAGCCAGCAAGAATGGACCCTAAAAAAAAGAGTGGACCCTGTCTCTCAATACCCAAGGGCCCTGCCAGCTTGTGATCTTTGAACATCCATCTCCTTAGATGAGCAACCTTACTACCTACACTTGTGATTAAGGGGTGGTCCTCATTCCAACCCTACTTAAGGATCTCAGCCATGGATGGCACCAAGGCACAACCCGTTCACCATCTCTCCCAGAAGCACACTGAATCCTCCTGGAACGGGACCTCCAGGAGGCACCAGATGGAATAACACGTAGCTTCATAGTTTTAAGCTCTTACTCTGAAATTCTAAATTATATACATAAAATTATTTTCTTTGGCCACTTTTTTCTAATGACACCAGGAAAACAGTGCCAAGTTGTGATGTAGCAATGAACTCTCCTGTTTGGATTTGAATCTATAAGAAAACATACCCTAATTAGAGAGAAACCAGTTATGAAATAGAACAAAGTAACTAGGTCATATTGTACATTTCCTGTTCTACTACCCCACCCCACACTCCTGTCTGGTGTCACTGAGGGTATAAATTGGGGCTGGGCTCAGTGTGTGCATTCACATCAAAGGCCAACATGAAGACAGGCACAGTCTTTGTCCTAGTGGCTTTTGTCATCTTGGGGATGGAGATGGCCTTCGCTCAGAGAGGTCCTCATGGAGGTAAGGGTGCTGAGGGGGTCCTACCTGAGAGCAGAGGAGGCTCAGAGCCCAGCTTCAGACCTGAGGATGGTGGGGCCCAGGAACAGGCTGCAGAGTGGAGATTTGGCATTGATCAGACCCACTTTCTTTAACCTTCAGGAGTGATCACCCTGCTTTTCCCATTTTTCTTCTTCTTTTTTTAAATCCTCACTCGAGAGATGCTTATTGATTTGAGAGAGAGAGCGAGAGTGAGAGCGAGAACGAGAGCGAGCGAGCGAGAGAGAGATATGAGAGAGAACGTCGATTTGTTGCCCACCATATGTGCCCCAAGTGGGGATTGAACCTGCAATATTTTCAGTATGTCGGGCGATGCTCCAACCAACTGAGCCACACCAGCCAGGGCCCTATCTTCTTATCAGATCAGGTTGGGCCTTATTAAAAGTTGGGGCTCTCTCTAGATGTGCCTTGGATGTAGGGCTCCAACACGGAGTAGCTCCGAGATGAACATGGGGTACGTGTGAGGTGGAAAGACGGATGTCTGGGATCAGAGAGGTTTCTAATATCTTCTTCTAAGGTGGAAAAAAGAGGCTTATGACACAGCAGGTTTCCTGCCTGCGGAACTGGGCAGCCTTTGCAGCAGGGAGAACATTCTCCTAAGGACCTGACTGTGACATTGGGGTCTTCAGTGTGAGAGTGGAGCTGCTGAGGCTGAGGGAGGGTCCAGGAGTACAAAGGAAGAAATGAAAGAGGTGGGAGTCCTGCCAGCAGTGAGGCCGTGGATCTCTAACAGAAGTGTTTATACCTCGTTAGTGACTATTCCAGACTCTACAAACACGGTTTTATGTTTCAGGGGGAGACAAACCTGGACTCTGCCCCAGGGTGCCCAAAGGAACCGTTGGGCCTTGTGTTGAAAGATGTGGAGGAGATGACACATGTCCTGGGGAAATGAAATGCTGCAGCAATGGATGTGGCCATGTATGCAAACCTCCTATCTTTGTGGTGAGTATAAATCCGTCAAGAGCTGACAAGGGTGTTAACATCTCCCCAGTGGACTTTCCTGGGGCCGATGGATGTTCACATGTCCACTGCACA